GGGGAACAGAGTGATAGGACAGTGGGTAGAGTGCCTGCCTTACATGTGGCTGATCCCTGGGTTTGATCCCCAGCACCCCATGTGGTACCCCAGCAACTCTAGGAGAGATCCTTGAGTACAGAGCCAGAAGTAAGTCCAAAACTCCATTGGCTGTGATTCAAAAACCAAAATTAAAACAAAGCTCTTTGTAGAGAGTGGCGCCTCTAGTAAGTGGTAAAAGCAACTGAAAAACTTTAAAACTGACTTGAAAATTTGGAGTGCTCAGTAAACATCAGAACTGTATCCACTGTCAAGCTGTTTCATAAACAGTGATTTCTTCTGCAAATACTTTCTAAGTCTAAACACACCATTTACTCCGTAGTCCTCTGTAAAGGGCAAGGGACTCCATAAACTGGAAAGGACTATGTAAACCACACAGTTCTTTGTAAAGGATACGTCACCAAGCAAACTATAACTGGGATTTAGCAGGCGTATTCTGCCAAATACCTGACAGTGCATATTTTAGACCCGGTAGGTCATCTAGTCTGTTGCAACTGCTCAACTACACAAAAGCAGCCATAACTTCTAAAAAGAATGACTGTTTTCCCATAAAACTTTATGGATGGAGACATTTAAATTTCATGTAACTTCCCCCCATGATGAAATCTTATTATTTTTCAATCATTTAAAAGTTCCTTTAGACATTGTATGACTGAAACCCAATTTGTGTATCTCATGGTGATTTAGTTAAAAAATGAACAAAAAAGAAGGAAAAAGAAAGAAAGGAAAGAAAGAAGAAAAGGAAAGAAAGGAGAAAAGAAAGAAGAAAGAAAATTCCTTTAGTTTGGGAACCAGACCAAAACAGGGCCAACTAGATTTGGCCCGAGGGCCCCAATTCATTTACTGCTGCTCCAAATACCCTTGGCTTTAAGGTACTAGTCTTCTCAGTGCAAAATCTCTGCTTCTCAAATGGAAGCCCCTTTCTTCCACAGTTGCTATGACTTTGGCTACCTTAAAGCATTTGTTTACTGGGGCTGGAGAGATATAGTACAGCCGGCCAAGGGCACTTGCCTGGCACACTACCGACTCAGGTGCAGATGGGCATCACATATGGCCCCCCAAGCACTGCCAGGGGTTATCTCTGAACTCTGAGCCAGGAGTGACCCGAAGCATCGGCCAGGTGTTGCCCAAAAAGAAACAGAAAAAAGCATTTGGCTTCTGTTCCCTTCACATATCCTTTCCTGCCTCTTCCCTCATCCGTGGCCTTTTCCTCACCTAGGTGGTGGGCTCCTCCATGCCACTGATTGGTGACCACCAAGATGAAGACAAGCAGCTCATCGTAGAGCTGGTCGTCAACAAGATGGCTCAGGCCTTGCCCCGGCAGCGGCAGCAGCAGCGAGATGCTTCCCCTGGCAGGGGCTCTCTCAGCCAAGTAAGGCTCCCAGCACTGAGTTGAGGGTCAAGGGTGGGGGAGGACAGCCCTTTGCTGTGCCCTCCATCCTAGAGTTGATAATACTGTTACCCATGTGAGGACCCTATTGCTAATAAAGGGATAAATAGGGCCAGAGAGAGAGAGAGAGAGAGAGAGAGAGAGAGAGAGAGAGAGAGAGGGAGTACGGTGAAGAGGCACTTGCCTTGCATGCAAGCCAGCCCAGGTTTGATACCCAGTATTATATAGGGTCCTCTGAGCCCCACCAGGAGAGATCCCTGAGTTCAGAGCCAGAAGCTAACCTCCCAAAACTTTATGTGGGGGAGATTAACAGGGCTGTGGAGACAGAACAGGGGGTAAGGTACTGGCCATGCACGCAACCAGCCTTGATTCAAACCCCAGCACTGCACATGGTCCCCTGAGAGATTCCTGAGAACAGAGATGAGTTAGCCCCGCAAATGGGGGATAAACAGGGCTGGAGAGATAGTACAAGGGGTAAGGCACTGACCTTGCATGTAGCCAACCCTGGTTCAAACTCCAGCACTGCACATGGTCCCTCAAACCCTGCTTGGAGGGATTCCTGAACACAGAGCCAGGAGCTAGTTCCCCAAATAGGGGGATAAATAGAGCTGGAGAAATAGTATTGGGGGTAAGGTACTGGCCTTCCATGTAGCCAAGTTCAAACTTCAGCATCCCATATGGTCCCCTGGGCCCCCGCCAGGAGGAATTCCTGAGTACAGCCAGCTGTTGTTCCAAAGCCAAAAAAGGGGAACGGGTGGAATAAACAGCTGTGACAGCCTGCGCTCCAAGAGTCCCCCAGCCCGGCAACCTGACCCTTTCAGCTCAGCCACAAATGTGGCCACACCCAGGACTCTGGGAACCCTGCTATTCCAATACGCTGATGCCCCTTGGCTGGTAGCTATTTTTAACCTCTCCTGCTTGACCTCTTCCGCCACAGACTCCGTCCCCAGGAGCCCTGCCCTTGGGCCGCCAGACGTCCCAGCAGTCTGCGGGTCCCCCGGCTCAGCAGCGCCCCCCGCCACAGGGTAAGTGAGGGGCCGGCCTTGCGGGGAGACAAGGCGGTTGCAGCGGCTCCAGCTCTGCAGCTGCTCTAACACCTGTGCTGTTTCTGTCTTCCCCCCTCAGGCGGCCCTCCGCAGCCGGGTCCTGGCCCCCAACGCCAGGGACCCCCGTTGCAGCAGCGCCCAACCCCGCAGGGCCAGCAGCACCTTTCAGGCCTTGGACCCCCAGCTGGTAGCCCCCTGCCCCAGCGCCTACCAAGTCCCACATCAGCGCCCCAGCAGCCTGCGTCTCAGGCTCAGCCAATGACCCAGGGCCAAGGCCGCCAATCCCGCCCTGTGGCGGGAGGACCCGGAGCGCCTCCAGCAGCTCGTCCGCCTGCCTCCCCGTCTCCACAGCGCCAGGCGGGCCCGCCCCAGGCTACCAGGCAGACGTCGGTCTCCGGACAGGCTCCGCCGAAGGCCGCAGGGGCGCCGCCTGGTGGTCAGCAGCGTCAGGGCCCGCCTCAGAAGCCCCCGGGACCTGCTGGCCCCACCCGCCAGGCCAGCCAGGCTGGTCCGATGCCCCGCACTGGGCCACCCACTACGCAGCAGCCACGACCTAGCGGTCCAGGCCCCGCTGGACGTCCTGCCAAGCCACAGCTGGCCCAGAAACCCAGCCAGGATGTGCCGCCAACCGCCACCGCTGCTGCCGGGGGACCCCCGCACCCCCAGCTCAAGTAAGCGGACGTCTCGAAGCAGGCGCCTGCAACCAGGAGGGTAGCCCGAAGAACCCCAGGTCTTATGCAGGGGTCCAAGGGGCTCTGTCCAGCTTGAGTCAAGCTGCTTCCTCCCCCAAGCTATCTCCCCTGCCAGTCTCGAGGTCCCAGTTGGAGACCCCCTGAGAAGCTCCTATTCTCTGCTCACAGTCTTCATACCAGGCTGCAGGAAAGGCCACTCCTCCAGACAAAACTGACTCCCCCACATGAGCCCCCAAACACTACCTGGCCAAGCCTTCGCAGTGTCTAGGCACCCTTCTTGTCCCCTTTAACCTCCTTCCAGTTCATCCCACTGTTGCCTCTTCTGGTCCATTCTAGTACTCAACCCCCACCACTTTAACTCAAAAGCCCACCTGGCTGCACTCCTTTAGGATCAGCACACCCCTACACCTCCCATCTCCACTGGGTGTTCATAGGCTGGGAAGCACCATGCTCTTCTTTCCCTGTTAAACTCTCCCTGGACTGGCCTATCAATCGAAGAGAAGGTTCAGCCCACGACTCTTCCTTTTAATCTCAACCTTTTTGCTCTGGATCCAAATACTCCCTACCCGTCCCCAGCGCTCCCCAACTCCATCAGAGAATCACGTGGGGTCCAGATGGTGGGTTGTAGGGGGAGGGTCAGAGGCACAGCCCCAGGATCAGAGGGGCAGGGCTGGGGCCGGGCCTGGGGTAACATTGTGTTTCTCTCCCCTTCCTCCCTTCCTCTTCCCCCCTTCCTCCCATGCCTCCACCTTGTCTCTCTCTAGCAAATCCCAGTCTCTGACCAATGCCTTCAACCTTCCAGAGCCAGCCCCGCCCAGGCCCAGCCTTAGCCAGGATGAGGTGAAAGCTGAGACCATCCGCAGCCTGAGGAAGTCTTTCGCCAGCCTCTTCTCCGACTGACATCCCACCCTGAAAGGCCCCCAAATCACTGGGCAACCCCTCTTGGGCCCTGAATCCACTTCTCACTTTTGGAATCTCCAATTCCCTTCAGAAGCCCTCTCCTGGCTCACCAAGATCCCTCTTCTCACTCCTCAGAATGCCCATGTCCCTCAAGAAACTGCACCACCTGGTCCTAAATCCATATCTCACGATTGGAACCCCCAAGTCCTTTTAGCACCCTCTGGCTGGTCATCTCCAGATTAACTTCTCAGTTTCAGAACCTCCAACTTCTTGAAGACCTCCACTCCCAGTCCACTGAGTGTCTCTTCCTGGAAATTCCCAACCACCAGTCAACTGGCTCTGACCCCAACATTACTGGGTCCCCCCATGGAAACCTCTATTTCTGGGCCCAGATGTTCCCTATCAAAACTTCCCAAGTCTTTACAACCCCCATACCTTTAAACCCTTTTTCTGACACCTCCCTTGTCTTTGGAGATTCACCTCTTCAAATGCCATCATCCTGCCCCTACAAAGATTTCCCTTCACACCCTGAGCCCCATTCAGCATATTGGGAACCCCTCCCATTGCTAGGACCCCTCATTTCTCCCAGGGACCCTTGCCCCACTTTCCTGCCTCTGACAGCCATCTTTAAATATGCAAACATACCCATCCTCCCAGAATCCTTTGCACATGGAAGGCCAGCAGTCCCCCCACCCCAACCTTTGCTGTGATGTCTGTGTCTGTGACTGACGTGGCCTCCTCCCGTGCCGTGCTTGGCATATGTGGTCCTCGTTCATTGTGCTGCCTGTGGTGATGCGTGCAGTGGCGCTGTTTGTGTGGTCCGCACTTCGCCCACCCCAATATCCACTCCTTGCCTGGACTCATCCCCATCCTTCAGTGGCTCTGAACCCCATGAGAAGAGTCGGGAAGCAAAATAAACAAGCAAAGTCCCAGCAGAATTCTGTGCTTCTTGGTGAAGAAAGGGGGGAGGGTCTTTGGGAAGACACAGAAGCCGCCCCCCCATCCACACGGGTGCTGGGGACCCCAAATCCAGTGGAAGGCACTTCAGGTACAAAGTCCAGAGAGATTGAGTGGAATCCCAGTCACAAATCCCAGCCATTGGAGATGATGGAGGATCTCTCAAATTTAAAGTATCTCCAAAGTCAAGAGGAAACCAAATTATGGAGGCAGCAGGGCTCTGAGTCTTTGGGGAGCCTAATTCCAGAGCAACTGGAAAAGAAACTGGGGACTCGCTCATCTCCCAGGGTAGGGATGAGGGACTCCTGAGGCAGTGTTGAGCAGAGAGGGAGCACTGATTGGTCAGTGGGCAGGACTCCTTGGCATGGCAGGCTGAGACTGGCTCCCTGGTGGCTTGGGCAGAGCCTAAGGCACTAGGCGGGCTGCGCTGAGTAAGCAGGCAGGCAACTCATCAGCCTGGGTGCGGTGCAAGGAGGGTTCGGAGGCACTCCGCTCAATCTTGGGGAGTGACCGCTGCAGCAGCTCAATCGTGGCCAGGATCTGGGGGCAGGGGCGGGTGAGGGAAGGTATCCAAGGGCCCAAAGGGAACCCCAGAAACCCCAGACCCCAGCCTCATAGTGAATCACATTCACACAGTGTACACCTCTGGGCTTTGAACACACAAGTCTCATTCACACCTCTATGTCTTCCTCTATCTCAGAGGCCTCCTTCCCCGGGATGGGGGGTCCAGCCCTACTACCCAGCCCACCTGGGGGAAGAGAGGCCGCTCCTCCCTCTTGAACTTGAGGCAGTCAGACAGCAGGCGCCGCATGGCTTTGGGGCAGTTGCTGGAGATTTTGCTGAGGTCCGGGGACAGATAGCCACGGCCAACCATAAAGATAATCTGGAGAAGGGGGGTACAGGAAGGGGGTGACTGATGTGTATTAGGAGACTCCAGGAATTTTGTTTTGAAGGTCTTGGGAAGCTCCTTTTGAAGTAATTGGGATAATTATGTGTATCAGGGCCCAGTGGATTGTGGGTATCTGGACACAATTTCTCTAAGGCCTTGGATTATTATTTATACAATGGAGAGATTTAAACTTGGTGGAAATTCAGGATTTAAAATCTGGAGCCTAGATCATAGGTCCGGGGTTTCTAGGGAGCTTGGGAGCCTGGAAAGTGGCGAGTATAGGGAAAACAATTCTAGGTCTAGAGGGACCTAATATATTCTAAAAGCCTGTAATTTTTGTGAGAATCTGCAGTCCAAGAACTATGGATGCAAGTAGTCTGCAGGGCTATTAAGTATTCAGGGCCCGAGTGCTGCTGACATCCAGAGCTTTGAAGATTTCTTTTTATTTTTGGAGCACACCTGGCAGTGCTCAGTGCTTATACCTGACTTTGCACTCAGGGATCACCCCTGGTGGTACTTGGGAGACCATACAGGGTGCTGTTGATCAAATTCAGGTCACCCGTATGCAAGGCAAGCACCTACTGTACTATCCCTTTGGCACCCTTGGAGAATTTCTGATGAGGGTGTCTAAGGCTCTGGTAGACTCCAGGCCTAGAACCTAGAAAACTGTGGGGAGACTGCGGGTAGAGTACTGTAGGTACCAGGGTCCTAAAGCCCACTAGATTGCTGGAGGGCTGAATAACTGGGGTTATTTGGATTCCAAAAGCATAATGGAATTCACGGTCATGGTCACACAGCCCTCCCGTTGTTCATCGATTTGCTCGAGCAGGCCCAGTAACGTCTCCATCATGAGACTTGTTGTTACTGTGTTTGGCATATCAAATACGTCATGGGGAGCTTACCAGGCTCTGCCGTGTGGGCGAGATACTCTCGGTAGCTTGCCAGGCTCTCCGAGAGGGGCAGAGGAATTGACCTCGGGTCAGCCATGTTGGCCGCTTGTAAGGCAAACGCCCTACCGCTGTGCTATCGCTCCACATTCTGTGTTAAATAGGTTTCTGGGCTCTGGGCACTTGGGGGACTCAGGGTATCCAGTGTAGAGGACTGTAAATATGTAGGGGTTCAGAGAGTGTTTCTTGGGACTTAAGGAAACTCTGGGTATATGGGGATTTAGGATAATCTGGCCATTGTGGACCCAGAGAACTATGGATATGAGGAAAGTAGGTAGGCCCAGAGGGTTATGGGAACTTGTGGTCCAGAAAAGTTTGTTTCTAGATGAGTGTGGCATTCTTGGTTTTGCCCAAGGGGGAGATCTGGGGATTGAAGGCAGAAGGAAGACTGTGGGTAGCACATAGGGCTCACCTGGTCACGGCTACCGATGTGGCTATAAGGCAGTGAACCGGTCATCAGCTCGTACAGCACAACCCCGTAGGCATAGACATCTGACTGGAAGCTGTACGGGTTCGGGTCCTGCATTCGAATCACCTCTGCCGCCTTTAATAGGTCAAACCAGGCAGAGGGGCCATGAAGGTCAGCACATGGCTGGTAGATATCATTTACCCCAGATCCCAATAGCCACTCTGGGCAGAGCTCAGTCACCTACATGAAGTGAAACATGAGCAGTCCAGACACACTGGGCACCAGCATCCCTATCCCTACTCAGCAACTTTTTGTCCCAGCCCAGCAACCCGTGCTCCTCTATGCTCCCAACCAGACTGGCCCAACAACTCACCATCCATAGCACAGAGCCTGAAGGCTGCTCCAATGGTTGGGCCCCACTCCAGCGTGTCTTCACTGTGGCCAGGCCGAAATCACCAATCTTCACGGTGAGCCCCTCGTGTAGGAAGATATCCACCAGGGTGAAGGAGCTCAAACAGCCTCTGACTCTCACCTTCACACAGGCCTGTCTCTGACCCTGCCAGAAGTCCCCCACATATTACACTAACCACCCCCATCTGGTCCCAAGATCACTCCTGACTAGGACACTTCCTGGCACCCAAACACTTCATTCCTGTGACCCTGATCAGGAACTTCCCATCATGCCCAACTACCTCACCTCAGACCCTGACCAGAGTCCTCAAGAACAGCATGGAAATCAGCCACAATTCTGACCCCAACCCCCCCCCCCCCAAACTGAACTTCCTCATCAGCCATTATAGTTCTGTCACCTGTCAATGGGCATGTCAACCACAAGTACCCATTCCTGTCTCCACAAAGGCCTTCACGAGAGCCTTCCCTCTGATCCCTTTGCCTGACTCCACCCCACTGCAGTCCTTCAAAAGGACAGGTAGATACTGTTAGACTTGAGATCTCGGTGGATGATGTTCTTGGCATGGAGGTAGCTGTGTGGGGTAGAAGCAGATGGCCAGTTGGCTGAGGATTACCTTATCCCCCACCCGATGGTCCCCAGCCCACTCCCCAGCCCCTCAGCCAGAAGGCTCACTCCATGCCCTGGGCAGTCTGCCGGGCTACATCAATGAGCTGGACCATGTCGAAGCGTGTGTCGGCCACATGCAGGTGGTGGTAGAGGCTGGAGCCTTCACACCACTGTGTGATGATGGCAAATCCCGGTCGGGTCATGAAGCCCATGAACAGCAAGATGTTGACATGTCGAGTTTTCCTGCAGGCAGGGAAGGGCAGTGTCAGGACAGGGAGTGAAGGAAACTAGCAACATCTGACTTCTCAGAAATGGTGGGCACTGTTCACTGCTATCAAGTCTACCTTGTCATTCAGAAGTCTCAGGGCCAGACTGTGTGGTGAGATTCAAGGACTCTGTGTAATATATTTCCCAGACAGATATCCACCAGGGTGAAGGAGCTCAAATAGCCTCTGACTCTCATCTTCTGTGAGAGTCTGTGAGAGCAGAAGTGAGAGTCTGTGTGTGTGGGGGTTGGGTGTTCTGTTCTAACTTCATCATCCAAGTCTCCCAGCACAAGAAGGGAGGGACTAGAGCCACCAGTTGTGCTTAATCGTCAATACCCACCTTGTATGATCTGGACCATAACCTGGGCCTACTTATGACCATTTTTTGCACAAGAAAAGTAGAATGCCAGAAATTCTTCATGGCTATATTACCATAACACCGATGAATGCCAGGTAAAAGTATTAGTGACATATAATAATATCCTTTTAATCACTATGAAAGGCTAAGAGGTAAAAAAAGACTTGGGGTTTGGACTCAAGTTAGAGCCTGTGTTCCAATCAAGGGTTCCCCACTGGGCAACCCCAGGAAGCTACTTACGTTGCTCCATGCATATTATCATTTATATTCATCAACTATAAAACTACCAACTGGGGCCTGAGAGATGGTACAGCAGCTAAGCAAATTGCCTAGCATGTGGCTGACCTGAGTTCAATCTCTGGCACTGCACAGGTTTCCCCAAGCACCACCAATAGTGGTGCCAGAGCAAAAAGCCAGGAGAACTTTCTAAGCACTGCTGGGTATACCCCTTCTCCTAAAAAGCCCCTCACAAAATCTGTGACAGTCATAATAGCTACCTTTAGGTTATGAGGACTGAGTACATAATCTAGAAGGCACTTAAAACAAGTGCTGATCACCAGTAAGTACTCTGAAATTTTCACCATCCTTGTCACCACTATTTGAAACCTGGATCTACCTCATGAAATTTGAGATACTTTGTTTTGGTCACACCCAGTGGTGATCAGGGCTTATTCCTGGCTCTGCTCTCAGGGATCACTCCTCAGAGTCCTCCATTCAGAGGACTGTATGGGTGTGATAGGGATCCAACCCAGGTTGGCCGCATATAAGACAAGCACCTTACCTACTGTACTATCACTCTAGTCCCAACCTCATGAAATTCTAACATGTAGGAATAGAGCCTTCCTCCCCAATTTACAAGAAAACCTTCATTCTTATGAAGTATGAACAATAGATACAATGGCAAAATAAAGGCATATAATATCAACACTAATCCACAATATTGCTCATGTGAGAGCAGACAACAGAGCAAGGAAGCATTCTTCATTGTGATCAGATTATGGATAAAATATTAACAGAATGAAAACCACCTGCTCGCGGAGACGGAGATTTAGTATAGGTAAGGTGCTTTTCTTGTATGCAGTTGACCCAGGCTCAATCCCTGGCACCGAATTATGGTTCCCTGAGCACTGTTTGCAGAACCAAAAATAAGCCCTGAGCACAGATGGTCCAGAAAACAAAAGGTAAAAAAAAGAATAAAATAGCATGTTCAAGTAACTACTATCTCACAGAAAGGAACACAGAATAAAGTGGTACCCACTATGAGGATAAATATTAAAATAGTACAATGAATTATGATAAAAATCAACTGTGTAGCGTGATTGTGTTCATTTGTCAGGATGGCAAACCCTCACAGTGTTCTGGGAGTGCTGGTAGTTCTAGTGGCAAATAGGAAACACCATGGTTTCTCAGCAGAACTGAATTAATACAGCATTAATGATATCGTAGGAAGGACAACTGCAAACACTCATTTGAACAATGATTGCATTGTGATTATGATTATCGTCAATAATATTCATTAAATAATGGCCTTATAAATTAGTAACACAATAAACAGAATATAAATGATGTAGCACAAGCAGAAGGGAAGGAAGGACATATGCATTCCTTGAGATAGTTAACCTTATACTATTCATGTCAGTGCATACTGTCACTGTCACTGTCCTCCCGTTGTTCATTGATTTGCTTGAGTGGGCCCAGTAACGTCTCCAATTTTTTGAGATTTGTTGTTAGTGTAAAGGTAAAGGTAGTGTGTTTGGCATATTGAATACGTCATGGGTAGCTTGCCAGGCTCTACCATGTGGGCGAGATACTCTTGGTAGCTTGCCGGGCTCTCTGAGAAGGGCAGAAGAACCGAACCCAGCTCGGCCAGGCTGGCTGCGTGCAAGGCAAACGCCTTACCGCTGTGCTATCACTCCAGCCCATCAGTGCATACAATGGTTTTTTTCTTTTTTGGGTCACACCCAGCGATACTCAGGGGTTGCTTCTGGCTCTACTCTCAGGAATTATTCTTGGTAGTGCTTGGGGGACCATTTAGGATGCAGGGGATTGAATACGGGTCAGTCGCATGCAAAGCAATGCCCTACCCACTGTACTATTGCTCTAGCTCCATCATGCAGTAATGTTAAGGCTATTCCATGGCCATCCATGGTTCCCAGTGGGACACTGAGAAGATCTATGTTTCTGGGGAAGGCAGAGCGACTAATATCAATATTAGGTCCTCTGAATACAGTCAGTTCCCAGAGAAAAGGACAGAGAGACAACTTGGAATGATGGTTCTAACACAAGGCAAGTGTAGCAGATGTGCAGGGAGCAGCCAGCCCTTTCTTGCCACCTTGCCCCCAGCCATACACATGCACTCACCTGAGCACCTGCATCTCGTTCTTGAAGGCCTGAGCCTGCTCGGCTGTGGGTTGGGCGACCTTGAGAACCTTCACGGCCACATCACCATGCCACCGCCCGCGAAACACAGTGCCAAACGAGCCTGTCCCGATCCTCTTCAGCAGCTGCACCTCACTGGGTGGCACCTCCCAGTAATAGCCCGAGTCCCGGTACCCCAGATTCTTCTGTGGGCCATATGAGCGGGCATCTTAGGGGCTGGCCCACATCCTCATCAGTCAACCTGTGGTGCCCCCACCCCAAGGATCCCTCCCTGGGGCTTACCACTTTCTTTTTCTCATCAGCCAAGGATTTCCGCTCCCGCTGTTCTGATGGGGACTTGGAATGTGGAGACTTCCTCCCCGAGGACACATTGGCTAGGTTGGGGCTCACACGCGGGGCTCCATCACCACCACCTTTACCACCAACAGCTGCAGTTGTGGAGAAAATGTGAGTGGGAACAAGTGGGGGCAAGGTTGGGGGCTCAGGGTGCAAGCAGCAGGGCTCACCATCAGTGCTGAAATTCTGGGCAGTGAACTGGAAAAAAGAGTGACAAGAGTCAGAAAGAGAATCTGGGGGCCAACAGGAACCACCCTTCTCTCTGCCCAGTGCTTCTCTAATACTAACCTGGAGGAGGCTAGAGTCCATGGGGGCTGTGGTGCTGACCATATGGACATTGGGGGTGGATGTGGACCGGATGCGCTGGAGGGGAGCATTGGCTGGAGCAGGGAAGGGGAAGTGCTCAGGGCTGCAGTTCTGAGTGCAGGAGCTGGCAGGGGAAAGGTCTCAGAATCATCATCCAGTGAAACAGAGAACCAGCAGAGCTGTCCACACACCCCATTAAAACTGGGTTTACCCTGAGCAAAGTAAATATCTGCTATTATTACTTTCTTTAAGAATCATTCAGGGGCTGGAGCAATAGCACAGCGGGTAGGGCGTTTGCCCTGCACGCAGCCGACCCAGGTTCAATTCCCAGCATCCCATATGGTCCCCTGAGCACCGCCAGGGGTAATTCCTGAGTGCAGAGCCAGGAGTAACCCCTGTGCATCGCTGGATGTGACCCCAAAAGCAAAAAAAAAAATCATTCACTGAATGCTGTATGCTTAATTCAGGAAGTAGAAACAGAACTGTAGGCAATAAAACACAAGTTTGGACCCTCAGGACACTGACGGTCCAGCAGGGAAAATAAAAAACATAAAATAATATGTTCAAAGGTGGAGAAGGGCAGTTAAACAATAAAGCAAAATGAGACAGAAAGTGTCACTAGTGACATCAAGAGAGAGGAGGTAACATTTGAGCAAAGACCTAAAGAAGCGATGTAAGTTACAGAGACAGTCTGAAAGAATAAAATACAATAGTGTATGCTCACATATATGATAGACAATGTATTATCTATGTTAAAATAGCAAGTTTAAAAATATAGGAATAATGGTACGTTATACAAACACATGTTAATATATAGCACATATATTAAAATGATACAAAAATATGTCCCAAGATGAAATTCACAGGTAATTAATCCACACATCCCAAAGTTAAAAAGACATAATGGTCTACTCTTTTATATTTTACTTAAATGTATGATACTCAATGGTTTATGAAAATTGTATAAATATTTTCATATATAAAAATTATATAAACATAAAACATAAATGTACTAAACTATAAAATGTATGATCTAGGCATATAAAGCATATATAAAATTATGATATACTAAAGCAATAATATATAGATTTTCTTTTTTTTTTTTGCTTTTTGGGTCACACCCGGCGATGCTCAGGCGTTACTCCTGGCTCTGCACTCAGGAATCACTCCCGGCGGTGCTTGGGGACCATATGGGATGCTGGGAATCGAACCTGGGTTGGTCGCATGCAAGGAAAATGACCTACCTGCATATAGATTTTCTTTATTTTTTTTTAATTTAATTTTATTTTTATTAGGTTGTTCACAATAATTGATTACATTCAATATTCCAACACCAGTCCCACCGCCATTACACCTTCCTACCACCATATTTCGAATTATTCCACCTTGATCCCCGAAGCAGGACCTAACTAATATATTTTGTATTTTTTTTTACAATCACTTTTATTTTTTTTATATTTATTTTTTTTCTATATTTGAGGAAAGTATTTATTTATTTATTTTAATCATTTTTTTTTATTAGTGAAACACCATGAGGTACATTTATAGACTTATAAATTTTTGTGCTTGGGTTTCAGTTATACAATGATCAAGTACCCATCCCTCCACCAGTGCCCATCCTCCCTCACCAAGGGTCCTAGCATCCCTCCCCCCCATCCCCCCCCCCCCCGTCCCACCCTGCCGCTGTGGCAGGGCATTCCCCCTTGTTCTCTCTCTCTTCTTTTGGGTACTGTGTTTTGCCAGAGAGGCATTGAGTGGCAATCATGTTTGGTCTATAGACTACTTTTAGCATGTCTCTCCCACCCTGGGAGGGTCTTCACAACACTCTTTATTTGGTGCTCTCTTCTCTATCTGAGCTTCCTTTTCACCTAGCACATGTGGCTGGCCTTCCATTCATGGAGCAAAATTCCTGGTACTAATCTCAGCCATTCCTGGATGTTAGTCTCCCGTTTTGTTGCTTTATGTTCCCCAGATGAATGCAATCTTTCTGTGTCTATCCCGCTCATATAGATTTTCTTTAGCCAAACCTGGCAGTGCTCAGGTGCTATTCCTGGCTCTGGCAGGGGACTGCATCCAGTGCTCTGGGTTGAACTGGGGTCAGCCACATGCAAGGACAAATGTCTTAAACACTATACTATCTCTCTGGACCAATAACATACGTCCCTTTCTTTTATGTTTTTTATGACTTTGCTTACTGCTTACTTCTGGCTCTGTTCTCAGGGATTACGCCTAGAATGTGTTCGGGGTCTATATGGGTTGGTGGGGATCATATCCGGTTTTGCCACATGCAAGGCAAGTGCCCTACCTGCTGTACTATCCCTCCAGTCCCAATAACATGCTTTCGTATAAAAGCATTATAGTATAATACTTGGACTGGAGCGATAGCACAGAGGTAGGGCGTTTGCCTTGCAAGCCACTGGACCGGCCGAGCCAGGTTCAATTTCTCCTTCCCTCTTGGAGAGCCCAACAAGGTACCAAAAGTATCTCGCCCGTACAGCAAAGCCTGGCAAGCTACCTGTGACGTATTTGATATGCCAAACACAGTAACAACAAGTTCTCACAATGGAGATGTTACTGGGCTCGCTCAAGTAAATTGATGAACAATGGGAGGACGGTGATACAGTGCTACAGTATAATACTTAATATAAAGAAGGGAAAAAAGAAATTCATCACAAAGTATCTCAAAATGGAAAGTCAGCATGGTGATACTATAGGAATTAACAAGTAAGTAAGTAAGTAAAGGCCCCCCCGTTGATCATCGATTTGCTCGAGCAGGCCCAGTAACGTCTCCATTGGAGACTTTGTTGTTACTGTGTTTGGCATATCGAAAGTAATAAGATATATAACAATAGATATAAACCATTTACGTACTTATATCCAACTATATATATACATATATGTATGAAACTAGTAAGATTTTCTTATACTATACCATATTTTGTTCTAAGCATTGGACATAATTAAATCATCACTAGAACGTTAAATGGTAAAGAGTACCACTGTCCCCTCTTTACCAATGACAAAACTGAAGCCTGAAGAGAGTAAATGGCTTGCCCAAATTCCTAAAGCTCTATGCCCTTCTCTCAATAAATGTTTGCCAAGTAAATAAAAGAATAAAGAACTGTTTGAGGTCCATAGTGGCCCCCAGCTCTTTTTCTCTTCGTTTTTCTGGCTAAGGCATCCCTACCTGGGACCCTGAGGACTTAGTGGCTCATTCAAGGGGAGATTCAGGGGAGCCTCGTGGTGTCTGGAGCCTCCAGACAAATCATGGACACTGTTGTAGAACCTTGAGGGTATTAAGGGTGTAAAACAAGGAGACATGAGTTAGCTTTTTTTATAAAACTCTGAGGGCCGTGTTTCTGCCTGCCTCATCCCCCCACCACCCAAGGCCAAGCTCACTGTTGGCGGTTGGTGCTCATGTCGACACAGACTGTGGGCACCTTGGAGGAACAATGCTGGTGGAACTTGTAGCCACAGGTTTGGCAGCGGAAACCATGGAACAGAAACTTAAGGCAGAAGTCACAGAATGCCAGGCTGAAGAAGGTCTTCCGTACCTGCTTGCACAGAGTAGGGAAGATTGAGGTTTGGCCAAGGAATCTTCCTCCATTCCCATGAGGACTCCACTCCGCATCCCATACTCACAAAATTATGCATGGTCAGTGGGACATCTTCGAGAACCTCCACAATGAGCTCTTCACCATCCAAAGGGGCAATGGCTGTGTCCCAGGCAGTGACTGTCTTTCTCCTATAGGAGCCATGGAAGGGCGTGAATGGGAGGGTAAATATGAGCCCTGGGAATGAAAGAAACCCCCAAAAGTCCAGCCATGGAGTACAATGAAGAACTAGCCTTGTTACCATTTTACATTTGGGGAAACCAAGGCTCAAGGGGATAAAGGATAAAGTGGTTTGCCCAAGGCCACCTGGTATTGTGTGTTGAAGAATAAGTCCATGATCTTAACCACAAAGGTGAGGAGCTAATGAGACAGTGAATAAACAAAGAAATCTGAGGCACTGAAAAATACCTAAGCAGCAATATGTGACATGAAAAAAAATTAAGGAAACCCTGAACTAAGGCTCAATAGGTCATCAAGAATCAACTAAGAAGACAGAGAAATGGAGAAAGGAGAGAAGAGGCAAACTGATAAAAAGTGAAAAGAAATTGGATGAATCTCCAGGTGAGGATGACTTGAAGGTGGGGGGAGAACTTGAGAGCAAAGGGAGAGGTGTAGACCTGACAAGCCACTGAAGAAATGAAATAAAAGTTAGATGGGCTCATATATTCACCGAACAAAGAAAAGATTAAGACTTCCTGGTAGAGCTAGGGAGCCCTGGGATTCTGCAGAAGGTATGAGAGGCTGGGCACCCACAGAGGTGGAAATGCCACACTTACCCCTTGATGAGCCGGTAAACCACACAGCAATCCTGATTGAGACCTCTCACCTTCAGGGCCTTGTCTAGAGAGTCGTAGACACTCATGCCATCCCGGACAGTTACCTGTTTATGTGTATGTGTGCAGCTGTGTGAGTCGTGCCCAAAGAAGGTCCCAGTCAACTCCCCCATATCCCTGCAAAAGTCTCCGCCCAGCCCTAATCACCCTTCTGATCCAAGACTTACAAGTGGCTACATCTCTACCCCTGCCATTTTTGCTCCATCTGACTCACCACCGTGCGTTGCTTGTTGGGTAAGTATACTTTGACAGTGCCCACTGTCCGGGACGGTTCAGCCCCATTGGCAGGGAGGCCCCGTGGAGGCTCCATGGAGCCTAAGACTTTGTCAAGATGGGCTGAGGTGAGACCAGGCTGGTGCCATGAGGTTCCTAGAAGACAGAGGAGGGACTCAGAGAAACAATAAAGCTAGTCTGTAAGCCAAGTGGCACAGATAAAAATTCAGACTTTGGGCCCCTGTTTCATACCCTGTTATCTAATTTTGACTTCGCCAAGGGCTCAGATTTACCACAGGAGGTAAGGGAGGGTTAACACACAATGGGAGGCAGCATACCCTGACCTGCAGGGCAATCTAGACACACCACACAAGTCAGTGCTTGGCAATGATAGACAAGAACAGGCTGTGGAGGCTTTAGAGTGAAGAAAGGGGGTGGAGAGGAGGGGCGCTATAAGACACTACTAGGAGAGAGGAGTCTCAGAGTGATGGGGAATGAACAAAGGGTATTCAGAACTGTCTTCGGTTTGGGGACAAGGGGAACTGTGCTGGTATTCTCCAAGGCACTGTGGGCATCCCTAAGCCGAAGGATGTCATGACAGGTAATATGAGATGGGTAAATGGAAAATAATGGTGCATCACCACTGCTGAAGTGATAAGTGGTTGTCAAAAAGGGGTGTGTACATAAGGTCCAGACACTGAAGGGAACACAGATATATTACTGGGGATGAGGAGACTGGGAAGGATTAGTGAGGACTGAGTGGGGGAATTGTCCAACATTCGCCTCGTGGATTCGACATGAACTCAAAAAGAGGAAAGTGGGGAATGAGCCAAGTCCCCACGCTGCGGCCTAGTGTTATTAAGGAGATACCTGAAGGAGGTCCAGAGAGAACAAGGATAGCACAACCCAGCAGTACACAGCAGAACCCAGACCCCATTCGGCCTGGCCCCGCCTACCGAGGGCCCTCTAGCTTCGCGCAGGCGCACTGCCACAAACAGCGAGCAAAACCCGCAACCTAGCACCCCAATTCCTGTCCACCACCACCCCTCCCCCCCAAACACACACCGCTGTCGACGATGGTCTCGCCCCAGGTCAAAGCACTTTCCTGTGCCACACAGGGGGCGACGGGACCTAATAGCAGTCGTGCTGGAACTGAGTATTCCGTCCCATCTCCCTGCCGGTTTCTGGCAGTCTCTCCAGGAATCTAACCTTGCCCGGCCCGCCCTCACCTGTCACGCTGCAGCGGCCGCGGTTGCCTCCATCTTGGGCCAGTCTTCTCATTTCCTCATTGAGTCCGCCTCCACTGCTCCTCGGACTCTTGCTATTGGTTCCGAAGGACTCAGCCCTCTATCCTTATTGGGGTAGAGTCACGTTTGTCAGGGAAGGGCCGGGGGAATGTGGGTCCTGTTCCGGATTAGGAGGGGCTATATGAAACGTCAGGGTCTGGGGAAAATTCGCTGGTCCCGACTCGAGCAGGCGCAGTCTGGAGATCTGCGTGCCAAAGGAGTTAACCCTCACCGTGCCAAGGCGGAATAGCGCAGTGTTTGTTGCTTCCTCCGTCATTTGGGACTGACTTTAGGAATTAAAGGTTGTGGGCTGGGAATTCCTACGAGCCTTTTTCCCCCGTGGACCAGTAACCGGAGCCCTGGTTACAACCATTTTGGAATGTTCCCGTGTGTCAGTTTTACTGTCTTTGAAATGGGCTTGAATGAGATCAAATGCTTTGTGAAGTTTTCTAAGACTTGATAATAGTGGCACTCTGGTGTGACTGAAATTAGAGGTCTGGCCGTAGGGGAGAGGTAACCTGCTATTCTGAAAGGCTTTCTTTAGAAATGGACTTAAGAATTCAATTTTTAAAAATTATTACTGGTTTGATGGGTCTCATTCCCCTGACCCTGAAAGAGCCTCCAATGTGGCAATTGCTAAAATCTCAGAGCTGGGGACTAATGGAGATGTTACTGGTGCCTGCTAGAAAAATCGATGAACAATGGGATGACAGTGATACAGTAATACAGTGATTACTGGTTTGGGTTTGGGGAACACACTTGGCTGTGCTCTGGGGTCACACGTGGTGGTGTGTGTGTGGGGGGGGACCATATGGGATGCTAGAGATTGAACCTGAGTCAGACTTGGGCAAGGCCAGCACTTTACCCACTCTACTATTTCTCCAGCCCTGAGACGTAGTTTTTGAAAGGCTAATCACAAATGGCCAGGTGAAAAGCAGAGGGAATTAAGGGTGTGCAATAGGGCACAGCATGGGGAAATGTGTGCCAATATTGTATTTTCAGCACAAAAAAATTGATTTTTCCCATTGTCGAAGAGAATTACCCTTTAGAGCATTTCCTTTAGAAAACTTGTACTCCCACCTTCTCCACCCTTCTAAACATGGTTTTAAAATCTTTTAAAAAGCAATAAAGCCCAATCATATCCTACACATTAGTGAATCATATGTCATGTGTGACATATGACCACTTCATCTGACTTACTTCATTTAGCATAATACTCTCCAAGGACCATCCACATTATGGTAAATGATAATAGTTCATCTTTCCATTGGGGGAAGGACTAAGTAGTGTTCTATTGTATCACTATATGACTCAAACAAACACGTACTACAATGATCCTAATAAGCTAGACTTCAAGGCCTAATGTGTAGTTAGCAACAATCTAGGTTTGAGTAATTACACTTTAAGACATACACCAATCAAATTGCCTAAGGACACATTTCTCAGACCACAACTCCATCCTTAAGGGCTGCTTGGCCAAGTATCTATCTGTCTATCTGTTTATCCTTGATATAAATAATTGACTGACTCATATATTCATCATATGTATAAAGAAGTGGCATGTAAACGATGTGTATCACTTCCTTATACAGACACTGAGTTATGATGCTGTACATCTGATGCTTACATAATGTTACCTCAATTTTTAAGCTTTCTTGTTAGTTTTACCACTTATAAATGCTGTTGGCCATGGAGTCATTCCTGAAATGTAAACACCAATGCAGCTAGCACCCGTGGTAGTCATAGGAATTTGACCTAAGCAAAGTCATAAACTTGTCAAAGAGATAATGTTATTTTGTTTTTCCTTTAGATAAAGTCAGATGACTACCTCAATTACCAGGTGAGTTAGAGATGACCTATATGGAGCAAAAGGTGTTGTCAAGTTCTCTTAACATGAAGACAATCTAGCTTTGTTCTGAACATGTCAGTAATGGATTGCATCTGCCTAGCTTTTTCAAATAATGAAATTTCATGTCCCCATGATCTCTTTCGTACTGAAAATCAAGATCAAGCGAGCTTTTGCCCTTCTGCTCCACGGGAGGTTTCTGTCCTCCCTGAGCTCGCCTTAGGACGATTCTTTCACGTTCGGACGAGCCTCATGCATGAAGGAACCGGCCAAGGAACCCAGGTGTGTGGGACCCGGGGCATAGATCTCCAAGCCTGCTCGGATTGGGATTGGGCCCTCCTCCACCCAGATCTCCCACCTTCCAGTATGTAGGCGTTACACCCACCAACTGCTCCTGGCGCCATGTAATCCCATCAATGGCCAAGACCCAGAGACTATAAAACCCTGCTCCTGGAAGCGTGCAGCTGCGAAGACATCTTATTATCTAGGTCTTACTCTGGAGAACTTGGCAGGCTACCAAAAGTATCCTGCCCACATGGCAGAGTCTGGCAAACTCCCCGTGGCGTATTCAATATGCCAAAAACCAGTAACAATGATGGGTCTCATTCTCCTGACCCTGAAAGAGCCTCGAATGTGGCACTCTTAAAATCTCAGGGCTAGGACGAAAGAGATGTTACTGGGGCCTGCTCGAGGCAATCAATGACCAACAGGATGATAGTAATAGTGATAGTGATGATCTCTTTAATGAGTGTTTGTGGTGCCCATTGCTATTTGGTTTCTTATTGTTTCAGTTTTTTGGTTACACCATGGTGCTTAGGGGCTACTCTTGGCCCTGTGCTTGTGGGTGCATGTGGTGCCAGGGATTGAGCTCAGGTCTCCTACATGTAAACTATGTGCTCCAGGTCCTTGAGTACTCTGTCTCTTTCTCTGTGGATTAATTTTATTCACTAATAAAGTTACTTTGTTCTTTTCTATCTTTATGCAAATGATGAACTAGGTTAGCATCATTTAAAAATTATTATAGGGGCCGCACACAGGTTGGAGAGATTAGGCCAGGGCTACTTCCAGCAATACTTAGCCTGTTAGTGTCTATTGGATAGTTTTATACTTGCAGTTCGGTGCCTGGGACTGGTAAATCGGTGCTTGACTTGGTGTTTGGTTCTCAGGAACCACTCAGAGAACTGGCAGTGTTTGGGGGACTTTGCAATGCCAGGGATCAAACTCAGGGCATAATATATGCTAGAGCTATCTCTTAGCAGGATATTTAATTGTTAATTATTTCCCCAAGAATTTTAATGATATGTAGTAAAATAACTGAATTACTCTGTTTGAGGTCTCAACATATCTCTCTCTTGGTTTTTGGACCATACTCAGAGGTGCTGAGGGTTTACTCCTGGCTCTGCACTCAGTGATCACTCCTGGTGGATTTGAGGAACCATATGCAGTGCTGGGGATTGAATCTGGATCGGCTTCGTGAAAGGCAAAAGGTCAACCTACTGTACTATGTTGTTGTTCCCCCCCTCCCCCAGCATCCCTCTTTGATAAGAAAAATCAAGGTAAAGGGAGGGAGTCCTCAGCATACTTCAGTTTGTGCTTTCTCTGCCCATATTTTCTCTGCTTATAAACTGTCTACCTATATTAATATTTTATTTATTTATTTATTTGGGTCACATCTAGCAATGCTCAAGGGTTCCTCCTGGCTCTGCATTCAGGAATTACTCCTGGAGGTGCTTGGGGGACCACCATTTGGGATGCCAGTTATGGAACCTGGGTTGACTGAATTCAAGGCAAATATCTTATCACTGTACTATCACTCTAGCCCCATATCTGCCTATATTGAGTGCTTTCTTTGCTTAAAAAGAGAGAGATAAAAATTATGTTTACTAGGCTATCACAAAATGTCCATTTCTGCTTTTCGGTTCAGATCTTCACCATTCAGTGGCTAAAAGGGAAAAGATTTAAAATATTACATATTGACAAGAATGTGGAGCAATTGGAACTTTCATATATATTGCTTTAGGGAGTGTAAACTGGGACAACTACTTTGGAAACAGCTTAAAGGATTTGTGCACTCTGACATTAAACATAGACATACAATGCCACCAGCAATCTTACTCCTCAGGATTTACTCCAGAAAATGAAAACATATATCTGGGTTGGCAAGAGAGAAACTGAAGACTGTGTTGGTCGGAAATGTACACTGGTGAAGGGATAGGTGTTGGAACATCTTATAACTGAAACCCAATCATGAACTTTGTAATCTCACAGTGATTCAATTAATAAAAGGAAAAAGAAAACATATCCAATCATGTGGTGGTAGATGATCAGCAACAAGGTCTTTAGGAAATAAAAATTAAATAATCTGTAATCTTTGCAAAATGAGGTGTAAATATTCTCATCATGTCTTATTTTCTTCTCCCATTGTGTCTTATTTCTATTCATTTATTTTTTTATTTCTGGGCACACCCAGTAGTGTTCAGGAGTTACTCCTGGGTCTTCACTCATGGTTCACTCATGGTGGGCTCAGGAGACCATATGGGATGATAGAGATCAAACTCATGTTGGCCACATGCAAGACGAGTGCGCTATCTGCTGTACTATCGCTCCAGCCTATCGAGGCTTATTTCTATGTACTAATACGATATCACTAATATGATATCCAACTCGGCTTGGACCGAGCCTCACGCATGAATGAAGTCCCACGGAACCCAGGTAATGCAGAACTTTGTGACCTTGGACTCTGGGCCCAATGGGACCCAGGAACAGAGATCCTCTGCCTGCTTCCCCCAGTCTCTGGTGACCCAGGGGTTACACCCAGAAGCCACTCCCTGCCAGCGCCAGATAATCTCCTCATCGACCACCCTCCAGAACTCACAGCTGCTTCTCCTGGAAGAGAGCATAAAATGAGGCTCCTATAACCGTGCCACCAGACTCCACACCAGGCTGTTTTCACTCGGGGTGCCCCAGAGGGAGGTGAGTGGGAGCCCTCCCCGCCCCAAGGGACCCAGCCCCGGCAGCCGACCTCCATTACCCAACCGTTGCCATGCTCCAGGCTGCTTTCCAGACCGCGGAAAGCATCATAAGACACTTTCTATCCATTTTCCATATATATATATATATATATATATATATATATGCCTCTCGGATAGCCCGGCAAGCTACCTAGAGTATCCCACCTGCACGGCGGAGCCTGG